TTTCAAGGTTGTTGTACTTAAAGCAAAATTAATATCACTTGAGATTTTCAAAGCTGATTTGTCTCACACGAGACAGTTTTCCCTTTTAACAAATCCTGAAATTGCTTCATTTGAAACAAAATAAACACTTTTGAAAACACCCTTGAGATTATTTCCATATAAACAAAATCGACAATATTTGATTCTTTTAAAACGATTTTTGTCTCTTGAGACAGGTTCTCTTGAAAAAAATCTTTGAGTTTGTTCCCTTTGAATAAAAATCTTGGAGTTTGTTCCTTTTGAATAAATATCTTTGAGTTGTTTCTTTTGAAAAAATCTTTGAATCTATTTATTTTAAAACAAAGTTTTGTCTCTCTTGAGACAGTTTCTCTTGAAAAAAATCTTTGAGTTTGTTCCTTTTGAATAAAAATCTTGGAGTTTGTTCCTTTTGAATAAATATCTTTGAGTCGTTTCTTTTGAAAAATCTTTGAGTCTATTTATTTTGAAACAAAGTTTTGTCTCTCTTGAGACAATTTCGTGAAAAATCTTTGAGTTTGAAACAAAGTTTTGTCTCTCTTGAGACAATTTTGTGAAAAAATCTTTGAGATTGTTTCTTTTGAAAAAAATCTTTGAGTTTGTTTCTTTGGAAACAAAATTTTTTCTCTCTTAAGATAGTTTCTTTTGAAACAAAAATCTTTGAGTCTGTTTCTTTTGAAACAAAATTTTGTCTCTCTTAAGATAATTTCTTTTGAAACAAAAATCTTTGAATATGTTTCTCTTAAAATGAATTTTGTATCTCTTGAGACCGTTTCTTTTGAAGTAAATCTTTGAATATGTTCATTTTGAAAATCTTTGAGTTTGTTTCTCTTAACAAAATCATCTTTGAGTCAATTTCTTTAAAAACAAATGTTGTCTCTCTTGAGACGGTTTCTAATGAAAAAACTAATTTTTGAGAGTGTTTCATTTGAAACAAATTTGGTCTCACTTAAGATGAGATCCATCTTTGAGTCTGTTTCTTTTGAAACAAAATTTTATCTCTTAAAGACAATTTCTTTTGGAAAAAATCTTTGAGTTTGTTTCCTTTGAAACAAAATTTTGTCTCTCGAGACAACTTCTTTTGAAAATACCCACCTTTGAGATCGTTTCTATTAAAACCAATTTTGTCTCGCATGAGACAGTTTCCTTTCAATGACATCTTTGAGTTGTTTCCCTTCAAACGAATTTTGTCTCTTGAAACATTTTCTCTTAAAATAAGATCATCTTTGAGTTTGTTTCTCTGGAAACAAGGTTTTATCCCTTGAAACAGTTTCTTTTGAAGAAAAATCTGAGTCTGTTTCTTTGGAAACAAAATTTTGTCTCACTAAGATACAATTTTCTGAAAAACAAAGTTTTGTCTCTTATGACAATGTTTAAAAAAAAAAAAAAAAAAAAAAAAAATCATTGAATCTCTTTCTTTGGAAACAAAATTTTGTTCCTCTCGAGACAGTTTATTTGAGAAAAATCTTGGAGTTTGTTTCTTTGGAAACAAAATTTACCATCTTTGAATCTGTTTCCCTTGAAACAAAATAAACATCTTTGAGATCGTTTACCTTGAAATGAATTTCGTCTCATTTGAGACAATTTCCCATGAAACGCCGATCTTTGAGAACGTTTCCCTTAAAAACAAATTTTGTCTCGCTTGAGACAATTCCCTTTAAATGCCGTCTTTGGGTTGTTTCCTTTGAAACGAATCTTGTCTCTTTCGAGACAGTTGCTTTGGAAAAACTTATCTTTGAGTTTATTTCACTTGAAACAAAGCAAATATCTTTGAGAACGTTTCTCTTGAAACGAATTTTGTCTCCCTTGAGACAATTTTTATCAAAATTCAATCTTTGAGTTTGTTTCTATTGAAGCACATCTTTGAGTTGGTTTCTCTTGAAACCATAGCTTCTAAAGATGGCCAACCGTCCTCATCATGTAGGAACCGTGTCATCCCCAGACCAGATCTCCTTATCACGTAGGAGCCGTGTCAACCATAGATAACCAGCCGTCCTCATCACGTAGGAACCGTGTTATCACCTTAAGATGGCCAGAACTCTTCATCACGTATGAGCCGTGTCATTCCCAGGCCAGATCTCCTTATCACGTAGGAGCCGTGTCAACCATAGATAACCAGCCGTCCTCATCACGTAGGAACCGTGTTATCACCTTTAGACGACCAGAACTCTTCATCATGTATGAGCAGTGTCGTCCCCAACAACCAACATTATCCAATTTCTAAGTTTAAAAGGGAGAGAACCAGACAAAAACGTGATGTCTTGTCGTCTTTGCCCTATTCTTGTTAACACAAGAATGTGCAAAGAGGGGCAGCTGTAGACACCCGTTTTTGTCCGGGTCTTTCCTATCTAATTTAATTTTAATTTTATTATTATTATTATTATTATTTATTATTATTATTATATTAATTACATATTACAATATTTTGATGCAGGCCACATCAAGCCCAACTACATCAACTGAGGCCCAAAAAAAAAAAACCGTAAGCCCAAGACCCCAATCAATTACCAACTACATCAACGGCCAACCCAACAACCCATTGGAGCCCGACCCGCTTGAAGCCGAACCAGCCCAACTCCAGACCCGATCAACGACCCATCTACCTAGGGTTTCATCATAACCCTAGGTAGATGCTGATGCTGCCGCCGCCGGCACTGTTTCTCCTGCCAGATTTGTCTCAACCGGCCGCCTGCAAACAATGACTACAACAGTGACCCCAAATCATATCAAACAGCAGAGATAATTAAAAAGATCAACCAAGCCAAAGTCAGAAATCTTGTCCTAGAAATCTAGGATATTATTACCCTATCCAAAAAGAAATCTATCACCAATATATCCCATGCAGGAGCCATTCGGTGGAGGGGGATTGGGGGAGACCATTCGGGGTCTGAGAGAGAGAACTCTAGAAAACAAAAACACATACCCAGAGCAAAAGAGGAACCGAGAACTACCAAGCAAAAATAGAGAGAACAGGGGAGGAGAGAATCTCACCGTGGGTTCGATACCAGTGGGGAACGTCAAAGGTCGCTAGAGTCGTTTTGCCGAGAGGTAAATCTCGAAGATCTGGGGTCCTAGAGTTCTTTTTTTGGGTAAAGGAGTTGAGATCAGGGTTGAGAGTTGGGAGAGGAACGCTTTGGGGTCTTTTTAGCTTCCTCCGGCCGCCGACGCCGCCGCTCGCCACCGCGAGCTCCGCCGTGGCTCCCTCTCCTTGACGAGGGGAGGTTGAGAGATTTCTAAATCTCTCTTTCCTCTCTGGTTTCGCTGAAGTGAACAAATGAGGGGGTGAGTGATTTTAGCCCGTGTTTTGGGCTTATATTATCTGACCGAAACGGCGCCGTTTCGACCCCATACCTCTCCGTGTTTTCATATTAGGGGTTTATATCCATTTAGGTCCCAGGTACTTTGTAATCTCAGTATAATGCCATTTAATGAATTTTTATTTTATTTTATTTTGAGTATTCATGTTTCCTTATTTATATTTCAGTCATCAGATTACATGTTATTCCATTTTTGTTAATGTTTGACTATGGTAACCATATTTGTAATTATTATATTTTAATCACCGATTTAATGTTTTGTATATTTTCCTCGCTATTCGAATTTGGTTATGATATTTATAAATCTTTTATTTTAGTCATTGTTTAACATTTTCGTTTAATTATTGTTTAGTCCTCCATGTTTATATTAATTTATTTTAGTCACTTTTTCTGTTATTACATTTTGGCCACTGATTTTTTATTCTTGTTCATTATAGTCACTGATTGATTCTGTTTTTTTATTTTACGAATCTGATAATGTAGTTTCAATTTATGCATTTTAGTCACTAATCCTGTATTATGTTTTTTATGTTCGAATTTGGCAGCAATATTTGTAAATCAATCACTTTAGTCACTAATTTACATTCTGTTTATTTATGATTCAGCCTTCATGTTTTTGTTTATTACTGTTTAGACCTTCAAATTTCTGTTAATTTTATTTTAGTCCTTTAAATAATATCTGTTGGTATTTTAGTTGGTTTGCAATGTTTGTTGGGTTTTATTTTAGTCCTTTATGTTATCAAGTATGGTTAAGTTATATCTTGAACGTATCATATTTGTACATATCTATTTCAGTCTAATTTTGTAATCTTGTTATGCAGGTACATTTATTTATATATGTTAATTTATGTTTTTATTTTAGTTCTTACATATTTTAATATATATATTTATTTCAATCTATTAATTTTTACTCCCCTTTTTGTCATTATTCGAATGTTTTTTAAGAATACCGATTTGTAGAACGGGCGTAGAAAGTATCACTTGATCGAAGTGGTACAATCTAATACGACGTTCGAATTAAATGGAACTTGAAATAAATTTTTAGTTTGTTAATTATTAATTCATTCTTATTTTACACTTAACAATGCAAGATATGTATTTTATTTTATTTTTCGCAACTGTCAAATTGCAATTTATATTCGACATGCATCTTTTACGTATTTGATGATAGAATATTTTTTAACAATGAAAAATAGTTGAAATAGCTTTCCCGATGGAGGATTGCTAATTTCAAGATTTTTTATTGATTTTAAGGATTTTCTTTAAATAATTAATTCGAAGCAAATTAAACTATGCTCAATAAACGGATCATAGTTTAACTTTATATTCGATTTATCATTTCCACCATTTACGATAACGTATAAGCGACACAGTACCAATTTTGGGCGATGTGGGGGGTGCTTACCCTTCTCCACACGTAACCGACTCCCGAACCCGTTAAATTTGATTTCTGGTAAGCACAGACCATTTTTGTCTTAAAAAATGATTTTACTTAAAATTGTTTAAAAGACGTTTTTAGGTATTCGACCTACCTAACCCAAAGGTCGATGGCGACTCTATTCAATTTAGTCCAAATCAATCCAAATTCCCCAATTTTTCCAAATTAAAGTCATAATCGTTTTTTAAACAATATTTAATTGTTTTATAAAAAAATGGTTATGACACCAGGATTGAGGGATCGCTACTCCGAGCATGAGGTCTATTGCATGCTTCATGCTGCATCATTATGCGTAAGGCGGGATCCTCATTCTAGGCCTCGCATGTCACAGGTAATGAGAAACGTTCTAGACAGGATTTTAATTTGTTTTACCCTTCATATCAGTATGGCTCTTTCTATTGTTATTTTTACGTACACCTTTGTAGCCTTAATATCATTGGGAACTCAACGCAATTTTATTTTACCACAACATTGTTTTACTTTTAGAGTTATATTCAAAATGTTTATTCAAATAGATAGGTTTAGCTCTAATTTTTAGGTTTCCAGGTGCTCCGTATATTGGAAGGCGACGTGCTTATAGATGCAAATTATGCATCGCCAGGATCTGACATTGGCAACCTGAGTGGCCGGATAAGTGCAGACCAACAACATCACAGTGGATCCCTGGTAAATGAGGCATTAGAATATTTCAGTGAGAAGCTCTCCTTTGATGGGCTAAGGTCTGGAGTCAGGCGGACTTCATCTACAGATCATTTGTAAAAAGCTCACTCTCCTGTGGTGCGCATATCTATCTATCTCTATATCATTTTGTACAATAGTAGTAGTATTGGAAGCAAGGGGTAAGAGGGTTTCTGTAATTCTTTTTGGAACGCTGGTTTTCAAAGCTGTGGTGAAATACTATACGCTTTCTAATTAAATCAATGAGGCAGAGTTGAAATGTAGTTGTTTTCTTCCTTCTCTCTCTTTCACATGTATGTTGATATGGGATTTTGTTTGATAGTTGCGTTGCATGGTAGGACAGTTAATCTGAATCTGAATTCGTGAGTCAAGGTAAAACAAAATCATCGTCTTTGACAGTTTATGGGGAGAAGGCAGTGGTTTTCCCCTACTGATCTTTGTTAATCCAGAAACTGTTTTATCTGACAAGAAATGGTCTGAGTTTTTGTCTTGAATTAAGAAACAAATAACCAGACAGTGAAATGTCCTTGTCTTACCTGTAAAATTTCAAACTTTTGAGAAGCAATTTTTCGAAACATTAAACTTTTCCTGGCATTACATTTTTGGGTCATGATGACAAGTCTGAGAATTGCAGAAAACAGGCCATCAAGAAGTATACAGTTAATTAAATTTCTGCCTTCGTTTTCAGGATTTTGGATGCTCTTCCAGTAATGGTCGAGTCATTTTTAATACGTGTAATAACAAGTTCGCAAAAGACAAGCTGGTTTCTTGTCCTGATGTTACATCTATAACAACTGAACATTGATGATGATTAGCATATATTTTTCTTTCTCCTCTAAAATTGAATGAAACATTCCACGTTTTTACTTAAAAATCATTCAAATATTACTTGTCATGTATCATTTTTTTTTTTGTTGATCTAATATCTTTTCTGACAAAGAGTATATTTACTTTTAAGGAGAAATATTGATAACGTGAGAAGATACATTTCAAGAGATGCACATTCTAAAGTTTTCTTGCCAAATCAAATTATATAAAGACATTTTATAAAAATATGCTTCAAAAAAATTGAAAAATAAAACTGTAGGAACTAACAACGTAATTTAGGGTGTGTTTGGTTCACTGAAAATATTTTACGGAAAATGAAATCTGAATGTAAAACATTTTCTAGTGTTTGGATGTTACATTGTAAAATGTTTTACACTGTTTGGATAATTTTTCTGAAAACTATTTTCCGAATATGTTTTTAATGAAGAAGTTTTATATATTGAATATGTTTTATTATTTATTATTTTTTAAAGGTTCATTTTTATATATAATTATATTTTATAAAAATATGTATTTTAGATAATAGTAATAATTGATTAAAAATATATTATAAAAGTTTATAAATCCTTAGAATGCTTAATTAATAGTACACTAAATTAAAACAACAGTAGTACATAACATTGTACTAATAATAATATTGTCAAAATATATAATTAAAGGGTTTATCACATTAAAACAACAATAACATCCAACCTTAATAATACATAGTCTAATTCATAATTAGTGTTACAACACATCAATCCAACAATACAAATACTGAAGTCTATACTACATCCCATTAGAGCTAAAATATTGTCTAAGCCATAAGTAATAATACACCACATTTAAAGCTCACATAAATAATGTGAAGAGTTGCTTGTCCTACGCTAAGTTTCCTCCTTACACCAGAGTTTCTCAGAAGTTCAAACTGTATTCCATCATCAGAAAAGGCATACCATCTTGAGTATTTGTTCACCAGTGTAAACCTCAGCCGATATACTGATTAAATCTTTCACCTGTGAAGGATTACAATTAAATGAGCAATTGGTTTTGCAAGTTTAGAAAATTAAAAAAGAATTATACAAGATATTTTACAGATATAACACAGAAACATGTCAAAATCTGGGACCAAAGCAAAACTATAACATGAGAAAAGGATAAAAATACCTAAAAAGGGACATTAAAGCAATGGAGTTTCCCTGATCTGTATGGATGGACTTGGACCTGAAGGCAAACTGAACAAGAAACTTTATCCCCAGAAGCATCAACAATGTTATTTTGAGTGATTATGATCTTTGGGATTTTTTCAACCAAATCTCCTGTCAATCCCTTAACATCGTCGGTGTCGAAGATGTTCTGGACCTCCTAAAAAGTTGTTTCAGCAGCTCCCATCTGATAACAGAAAATGAATATCATAAGCAAAATGCCATTTGATATAGAAACCAGCAACCAAATTAAACCAGTGAAATCAGGATAACAAACAAAACTGCTCACCAAATAGAGCAAACATCCGATCCTGAATTCATCAGACTGCCAAAGAACAAGAGAAGATTCAAAAACTTTGATAGAAAAAACCGCTCCATAAATAGCCCCAACCGCAGACCCTCTGAGGAATCCGCAGCCCCTAACAGGGTGCCCACTGCACACATAAAATGTCAATCTCTTCACCAATATTTGACTACATCAAGCTTAATCTCAGTCTCAAGCATTAATTGTAGGAAACTAAACAACATTGTCATTAACTCTACGTGTATTTTGGAGCTAAATGTAATAACAAATTCATCCAAAAATTGATTTGTCTGCTAGCAAAATTCTTTCACAATATTGTGATCCAAAAAAAGTAGAACATCAACAAAATTTGGTTTATCTCGAATCCACATAATATCATACTTGGAACAAAACACTAATATGAGAAATCTAATTTAACAAGAAATCAAATTCAATTTTTTGCAATATGGATGCTTTGAAAGAAAACAAAATTATATAAAAATAGATCTGCAACGAGAAATCTAAAAAGCTTTAATAGAAATAATGAAGCAAAATAGAGAAGAAGAGAGAAAGAAGGCGAAACTACAAAAATCTTTAAGCTTTTCAATGGAATCTCCAAGCAAAGAAGGTGAGGACCGAGGTAAACGAGATGGGTATTCGTGAAATTTCATCCTTTATCACTTTCTTTCAATGAAATCCCCAAATAGAGGTTATGATGATGTACACCTCGGGGGATTTGTGAAGTAGAAGAAGATGAAAGCTTATAGAAAGATGAAAAGAGCGATACCTGAGAAGATGACCGCCTGCCTCACGTGTGAGAAGGAGGCCAGATTTTTCTGTGTGGAGCAAGGGACGGGAGAACGAAGTTTAGAATTGGTGTGGAGCAAGGGATGGGAGAACGATGGAAAATGACTTACTGATTTCCAAATGGTAAGTCATTTTACCGTGTTTTCCTTTAAGTTTTCCGTTGATTGGAAAACAAAATGCATTGACCTCATTGTTTTACGGGAACCAAACACAGACCCTTAATATTTACTAGTTTCATGACTTGAAAAACTCAATGATATTAGTTTATATAGACATATTGGAGTGTTTTTGTTAAATTATATTAGGTTAATAGTTATTATTAAGGTAATATATTTAAAAGGTGTATTCCTTGTTAACAGTTTTTCCTTCTAACATATTAAAATGAATGCTTACGCTTGTTTTTATGGTTCTTTACTTGCTTGAGACATCAGTTTCCTATTGGGATAGACTCGGAACGGTTCATTCGTGCACTTGGGCTTCCTCAAGTCCAAGAACACATCAAAGACTTGAAAGGCCGAAAGGTAGATGCTTTATTTACCTTTTGGCATTAAAATGTGATATGTATGCATAGTTTATAGTATTTTAACGTTATATCAGAATGTATACTTACAAGTGGAAAGGCCCGACTTTATAAGACCACAGGAAACTCCATATTTAACAAATGTAGGATAACACCACTTAACAACTCGCTCGATTGCACCTGTATTTTCCTTTTAGATTGATTTTTTCCTTTCAGTTTTATTTCTATTTCACCTTTCAAAGCAGCAGCATTTAGAAATGTTTTCCAATTTATTATTACATATTTGCAATTTCATGTAGAAAGAAAATTTTCTCTCTTCTATACCTTCTTTTTTGTTTTTTGTACAAGTCTCTTGTGGCCTTATATTGTTGTGATTGTATAGGCGGGGCTAGACATGATCAACGTGCGCGATTGAACATGGCCCCAGAATAGCAAGGGCCCAAAAAAAATTAAATTTATTACTATTGTTACGATAAAAAAACAAACAATATTATGGATCAGTGGTAAAATTTTTGGGCAAAAACCACATAACTTGCGGTCTAATTTTGTAAAGGTTTTCTAGTTAATAAAGTAATCTTTAAAAAAATTGAGATTTAAGGGACTCTTTTTTAAGAATTTGCACAGGGCCTCCAATGTCCTAGCCTCGGCCCTGATTGTATTATTTTATTTGTTGCCTGTGTGCTTATTGTTAACTGTCTAAACTTGACAGGTAATGCTTGCTGTTGATCGTCTTGATATGATTAAAGGAATTCCCCATAAGTTATTGGCATTTGATATTATTAATGCATTTGATATTATTAATGTAACACCCTAATCCAACTCGACCCAAAGATCATTGAATTATGATGTCACATAGAACCACGTAATTGGCTAACCATTTTTTTTTGAAAACGTTTCATGAAAGTACCATTCATAAAATTCCAATACCGGCAAGCACAAAATATAAGTATTTAATACGGGGTGCTCCCAACATAACTCTCCAAAATATATCAATAATTTAAAATACATAGTTTATGACTCAAGATACAAATAAGGGTCTATGAAAGTACATGCCCTCTAAAACTCTCGAAACGTAGTCTGAAGAAGTCGAGTATGGAATCCAAGTCTGGCGAAGAGCTCCTCAACTGGAGCCTACTGACTTGCGCTCGGAAACACATTCCATACGTTGAGCTCACAAGCTCAGTGCCACCAAAGATAACCAAGTTATACTACATGCATCCAATATATAAGCATGATACAATATAGTCATGAGCAATGCAACACTCAAGGAAACGATAAGTATCATAGTGTAGTTCGGGGTCACATAGCATCACGAAACTCACACCACTCTTTACTTATAACATTTAATGAAGACCTGGGTCACACAACATCAGTGTTTCTTTAACACTCGAGTCAAGTCCGGGTCACGAAGCATCGACACTTGCCCGGCTAGCCTACTCCTCAAGAGTACTCAGGATGT